TGAAAGGTAACCTACGCGGGGTGCAGCAAGCACGTTCTGGACGTTACTTGGGGCACTGGGTAGTCGGCCGTGTTAGACCGAGAGCGAGAGGTTGAGAGAGAGTTGGAGACAGAGTGGGAGAAGGAAACTTGATTGGAGAGAGACGGTGGTGGTGGTGGAGAGAGACGGTGGTGGTGGTGGAGAGAGAGAGGGAAGAAGTGCGCAGCACGCACGCAAGCTCCATCGCACCAACCACGCCAAAAGGATCCCCGTGACTGCACCGGTGGTACCCTACTACACACGAAATTCCCAACACGTATCCCCTGGGATCCTCACGACCAGATACTGCTGCGAGTATATCTAACATCCCCCCTGCTCGCAACAGTCTCTCACTGAAAACTTCGATAACACCCGATATCTCAACCAAAAGACGTCTTTCCCAGACGATATGCCACCAAGACTTTACCAGAATAACATAAGAGAAAGAAAAACAATTCAAAGGAATATGAATGCTGCATCGCGCGTAACAAATACTTGGCGCGGGAAATGAAAGAAAACGGGAAACAAAACGAGAAACAAAACAAAACCAAAACACAACCTATCAGAAAAACAACAAAATGTTCATGCCAAATTCATCACAAAATCACGGTGAGACTCGAAAGCATCCTTCGACAAACTCTTTGTAAGGAAGTCTGCACGCTGGTACGGCGACGGCACGTGAATGACCGAAATTTCCTTCCTCTCTACCAGTTCCCTGAGAAAATGGTGCCTTACATTTATGTGCTTCGAGTTCGAGTTTGAGATGGGGTTCTGCGCTAGTTGAATCACCCCCTGGATGTCCTCGAAGACGGGGATGCACGGCATGCCGACCTGCGGCAACGTGAAACGCCAAATCTGCCTCAAAAACAAAATCTCCTTCACTACGTCGCCTAGCGCGACGTACTCTGCTTCTGTCGTCGAAAGCGTGACGCATTTTTGCGTTCTGGAAAACCAAGACACAGCGCCTCCTCCACACGTCACGATCCCCCCTGATACCGACCTACGGTCTGCTGCCTTGCTTGCAAAGTCCGCATCAGCGTATCCCTGCAAGCTGAATCCCTCTACCGTACCTCTCTGAAACGAAATACCAAAGTGACTCGTCCTCCTCGCATAGCCCAAAATATCCATCGCTGCATTCCAGTGTACCAGCTTCGGAGATGCGCAATACCTAGCTACTGCCCTTACTGCATTCGCAATGTCTGGTCTAGTCTGAGTCGCCAGCCACATCAACGATCCTACCAGCTCACGAAACGGAAACTCTGTCGCCACCTCATCCGCATCAAAATCAGAAAGCTTCACACCCGAAGACATCGGAACGCTCCTACCTCCCACTACTCCATATTCTGCTGCTAACTCATCCGTGAAAGTCTGCTGAGAAATCGTCAACCTACCGGTCTCTTTATTCCTAACGCCACCAAACACCTCTTCAGCATTGCATTCCACTGCCTAGATGCCTGTCTCAAGCCATACAGACTCTTGCCTAGTTTTACAATCATTCCAGATAGAGCTCCACATCCCTGCGGCAAACGCATGTACACGTCTTCCCCCAACTCTGAATGCTCAATAGCTTGCTCGATATCGAAATGATATAAGTCGTGGTTCAACTCGCACGCCAAAGCAGCCAACATCCTAACACACGAAACGGAAACGATAGGCNCTCTGCATATCACCTCTCGCTACAAGTCTCGACTTTACCTTAGTGGGCCATCCAAACTCATCTGCCTTCCAATCGAATACCCACTTAGCGTTTATCGCGTTCTCCACTAGTTGCTACTTCGCCGGAGTTAAAGTCCCCGCTTCCAACAAGCCATAAAACTCCCTTTGCATAGAGTCG